CGTGCATCCAAGCTATTACCTTCAACGCATAGCTCCTTTTCCAACCTTAACCCCCCCCCCACTTGACAGCCCACTGACAGTGCTGCATTTATGCACTAATTTATCAGCTCCCGCCTGCAACGCGCAGCTCCCTACCCCTCCCCCCCCAAAAAAAATATCGGTGAACGAAACTGCGGCAGCTACAACCACAGTACGACGAGTGCGCGGTTATTACAGCCGACAATGATTATGATGATGGATGCACACAATGCAACCTTTAATTGCGAGGGATTGACACAGAAACGGAAAATCTGATCCACAAACCGTGGTAATTAATCAGCCCAACTGCCCATTCACTTCGCATGCGTATGATAAGTGAGTGTGGTTTTTCGGCCGCGAAAAATAATTTGACCTAAAGGTACTAATTTCACAGACAGATACATCAGATTCACTACGTAAATCCACAAGTCAAACTCAATCGTAACCAGGCAGTCCACAAGAATATGGTTGCTTCGTTTGACTATCGCGCACCTCCTCCTAGTCTGATTTGAAGCTTCAACCAACCATTGTGACAAGAGTGAACGAATTCGCTTTGGCCAACTAAATTCACTCCACATTTTACACAGATCACGCAACACCTTCGTTGGTGTCATGTTCATAAAACTCAACATGTAGGTTGTAGTCATCGTCGTTAGAATCACACTAAACAGTTTCTCGGGTCGCTTGGACGTTCTACCCTAGACGTCCGAATCATAAGTCCCGAAATGCATACCATCATTCGAGATGGACCCCAGTCGTGGCCAGTGACTCCCTTAGTGATGGCATGATGTTTCATCCCACATAACACAACCCACTGATGCCACACTGAGTTCCATCCGGTGAAGTGCTGTTGTCTTATTTACTGGCTGCGTTCGCTGTATGGATTGACCGGTGTGGTGGGCGTCCAACCATAGATGGTTCGCCCCGTCGTTTTTCACTCAGTTGTTTCCAGGTTTCGTTGAGGTCGAAACTAATTATCTCGACAATACAGTGCTGCTGATTGTGTCCGCCAAGTCAAAGCCCGAGAGCAAAGTTCTGATTATACAGTGCCCCAACAGCCGCTGACTAATTCGAACAACCTAATCGGTTGTAAACCGTCGTCGATCTTCACAAAGCAGCTCGTAGTTACCAAAATATGGGTTGGTAATTCTGTTGGACACGTACTAGAACCTTCGTCAACATCAGTTGTAAACCTGGCAGAAGTTGCGCACCAATCCTAGCTACCACGGTCTTGTTAAATAGAGCATAATGAGTCGCCATGAAAAAAAGGCGCACCGGTAGTGACGGCTCCGCCAAACACAGCTGCCTTGCAACCAGGCTTACTGAGTTGAAGGCTTTGGTTAGGCCCTATTCGTCCAAATAGCAATAATATCATGCCACATCGGCCGTCGCGTGATGCCATCAGCTGGGACTCAGTGCTTGTGGTGTACAGCAGGGCGAGTAAGCAAAAACATCCTACTGCTGCCGCCTCCGTTCTTACACTTTCAAGTTTTCCATCTTTGACTCTACCCACCCCGATATGAAATCTCTCCGCATTCCAGGCACTGGGATTGGGCGCTCTGTTAGCCATGTGTTACTCTCAGCTGCAGCTTCTGTACATCAGCAAAACCCTAGAGAATTCAATGTCTGTTTTCAAACCCCGAAAGCGGGTCTGCTTAACTGCTTTTAATGTCCGTACCCTAAAGCAACCAGGACAAAAGATGGCTCTTGGTCGTACGCTGGATTCCCTCTGCATTGATGTATACTGTCTGTTAGAAGGATACAATCAAACCCCGAAAGCGGGTCTGCTTAACTGCTTTTAATGTCCGTACCCTAAAGCAACCAGGACAAAAGATGGCTCTTGGTCGTACGCTGGATTCCCTCTGCATTGATGTATACTGTCTGTTAGAAACAAGGATACAAGACTTGAGTACTGTGACCGAACTGACTGTCCTCTCGCTCTCATCCACGTTCCAACCGCACGCCTTTAGTGATGTAGAAGCTGCTGAAGCTGGAAATAGCGGTGTGGATATTGTATTGAGCGACCGAGCACAACCGCCTCTACTTGATAGGATACCCGCCGACAGACAGCCCTGTACAGTTTGTTTGGAAAAGTCTGTTAGAAAGCCTCGAGAAAGCGAAGTCAGTCACAACCTATTTATTGTCTCATTACGCCCAAATGACTGTTGGAAAAGTCTGTTAGAAAGCCTCGAGAAAGCGAAGTCAGTCACAACCTATTTATTGTCTCATTACGCCCCAAATGACTGTAGCTCTGAATCTTCCGAAAATAGTCTCTATGACGCTCTGATAAAAAATCGTGGCTTTGCTGGAGCCCTGGCAACAGAATACTCATGGCCCCAATCAAATTCAGACCGATACATCATCCGACACCAGGTAAAACTAACTGTCCGTGCCAACCGTGAAGCTTGGTGGACCCAAAATGTCGAAGAAATGGAAGGTGCGAAACAACACTGCAAACGTCCGCAGGTTGTTCCAGTTGATTCATTCGACCAGTCTTCGGGAGCCACTTGTCAGCGAAACTATCAGGGACAAGAAGGGCTCTGGCAACCACAAGAGAATGTTTGGACAGCTGGACACAATAGTTCAAACAACATTTCAGTTGGCCACCTGCAACTGTCAAACCGGACTACCGGATTTCGACAGAAAGTTAGATCAGGAACATGGAATTCACATCAGTCTCCGAAGTGTTGAAGTGTAGATCACTACTCTCGAGCTCCTGGCTCTAACGACCTGCCCCCTGGTCTATCCAAAAAAAGTGGTGAATTCCTTGGTCAATGTCTGTCTAGTCTGGGAGGAACAGACCGATGCAGATAACTGGGTAGAGTCGATAACAATGCCATTTTCAAAAAGGGTACTAGGAGTCATGTAGTAACCAGTGTTAGTTTGACTCATGCTGTAACAAGTGTTCTGGCGTCACTGAATTTTTGCAGTTTTAAGGCGGCACGTGGAGGTTTGACCCGTGAGCGTAGAGCGGAATTTCAACCGGGAAGGGGCTGCGTTGACTACATATTCACACTCCGTCAGAGGTTGGAGCAACACCACATGTACAGACGACCCACAGTCTTCAAGGAGACTTGATTTCAAGGTTGTGTTCGATTCTATCGATCGGTCAATGCTGTCGACTACACTTGCTCAACAGGGTATGCCCCACAAGTTTGTAAACATAATCCGGTCCATATATTCACATACTTCTGGGTGGATGAGTGCATGGTGAGCTCTCCAAAAGCTTCCCTACAAAAGATGGTGTCAGATAAAGATGTACACTCTCTCCAGCCTTGACCAACTTCATCATGAAATAATGAGGCGAACGCCGGACGGTCTTCAAACTCCGGTGTTCAAATTGTTAATGGTGACAGCATTGTCGATCTGGAATAGGAAGATGACAGCGAAGCAGAAGCCATTTCGAATAGACTGACCACCGTCATATCATCGTTTAGCATGCGCCTTGCACCTTCAAAGTGCAAAGTCATGCTTCAGAAAGTGCAGTCTCCGAACATACCCCTTACAATTCAAGGAAAATCACTGGAGATTGTGGAAAACTTGACATATCTCGGTAGTTGTATTAGCTCTGACGGAAATGCATCCGATGAAATCAGTGCAAGAATCTCAAAGGCTCGAATCACGTTTGCTAATTTGCGTCACTATGGTCGTCTATAGCGCATCTCACTAGATCTTAAGGGTCATGTATACCAGGCTACAGTAAGGGCTGTTGTTGTATGGGTGCGAGACATCGCCTCTGCGTCTTCAGGTTTCCGCCCACCGACGGCGTCAGCGTGTTAGTAACAAGGTGATTAGAAAGCGGATGTTTTGTTGTGCTGTAGGTAAGTCGGTGGCGGAAAACATCTACTACCATCGACTGCGGTGGCTTGGCCATGTGCTAGACATAATAATAATAATAATAATAATAATAGCACCCTTCCGGTGCCTAGCTGCCATACGACCCGAAGGAGGCACGAGGGCCCGAATACTGCCAGGTCGTTTAAGTCTACATAGGAGAAATCGAGAGGCAGAGGTCGGGTTCGAACCACGGACCTTCTGGTCAATAAATTCACGCTCTAACCACTTGGTTCAACAACTTGGTCCCCCGCAAGCTTGGCATACCGTAACACAGTCAACTGAGACTAGCATGTTTCTCCGTGCATCCTTCAGAATGGCAGAAACTGTGAGGTGGATAATGTGTGACTTGGTGGAAGGGTGTGATAGAGAATACGAAGCAATAAGCTTTCAAAGATGTGGTCCGCGTGGCCACTCCTGTATTCGATTGGAGACACTGCGAGAAATGGCGGTTGGTCAACGTCAGTTTCTTTCCAGATTGTTTGACTGAGCGCTTGAAGGCACTTCAGAGTGCTTGTGATAAGCCAACAACAGGTCGCCTGCCTCAGCCAGTTTTTTCTTCATTCCAATGTTTTAAACATAATTAGACAGAGTTAGTGGCTGTGACGGCAGTGAAACACTTGTCAAAACCGATGTTGCTGTCACCGAGTGTTATTACCTTAATTATAGTCACACTGTCTAAGTATATCAACAATGCGCTGGACGAGGGGCAATACATCATTCAAACTGTCAACTGTGGAAACAAGCTAGTAAGTGCCTGCGTGGTAAAAATACCATTACGCCGTTTCAGCGCGTACGAACTGTGAAGAGTGAGATCCCATGTTACTGAGACCCAGAGTGAAATTTTTTCACAATCAGGGACGGGTTCGACGCAGAAGCTCTTGACTGAACCACTAAGCTCGTCATGTAGTCAACAGCGACTCATCTGATCCATACTGTCTGACGCGAAACCGCCTTTTGAAGTTTGACTCTAGTCTTCGTCCTTGCAAGTTGAATTTCGTGATCAGATGCCCGCACTCTTCTGTAAACATTTCTATCTTATAGCAAAGAGGAAGATGCTAACAGGATGCTAACGGAAGGCTCGGCTGATGACTTCTTCAACTGCTGTACAAGGACCGCATATTTCAGTTGACACGACATTCGAGATATCGAAGCATTATGGGCAGTGTCAGGTGTCGTTGTTTCGCGAATTTTACATCGTTGTTGCTTGTGAAACATGTCGTGAGTAGACCCATCTCTCGTCCGGTTTAATCATTGGAACGTGATATGTTATGAAAGCTGATAGTAAATGTGTCATCCATCCTAATTTTTATAAATTAACACTCCTGGTACAGATAGGACTTTATTTAGTATGTCAAGGATTGTCAGACTTCAACATACGTCTGCGGTTAACATAGATGCTAACCGATTGCTACTGACAAAAAATGTTTGCTTAGCTTTAGTGATTTGCGATGAGAATAACAGGAAGGAGGGCAAGCCCATCAGTTATTCATTCTGGTACACAGTTTTCAGCTGGCAGCAGTTTCGGGACTGTAAGTTGGGCAAAAGCTCTACTTTATTGACAGGTTAATTAATTATAGTAGCTGCGTGAAATGTGGTGCATGAAGTCAATCTACTTTCAACCAACAACTTCGTCTCGATGACCCCATCCGAAGAGGATGAGAGGAGAATCCAAAACCAAACGGTTTCCTGAATTCCTGACTTAATGAGATATACTACAATGAAGACACCCTACACCCGTGACTCATTCATTGAGTGATTATAATTTCAAAGAGGGTATGTCTTAAGCGTATCTGGTATACTAACCCGCCTCAGTAGTGAGTTATTTTTGTCTGGACCTGATTTAGCTCGATCCGTAATAATTCAGTATTATTCATTAAAAGACTTCACAACCGAAATACCGGTTAACGGTGATCAGCTGGAGAACAGAATTTGAGAACGCGCAAAACCTTAATAATAATGATAATAATAATAATAGTAATAATAATAATACCAATGACCGTCCGCCACGCCCGCTCTTAAGCGTATCTGGTATACTAACCCGCCTCAGTAGTGAGTTATTTTTGTCTGGACCTGATTTAGCTCGATCCGTAATAATTCAGTATTATTCATTAAAAGACTTCACAACCGAAATACCGGTTAACGGTGATCAGCTGGAGAACAGAATTTGAGAACGCGCAAAACCTTAATAATAATGATAATAATAATAATAGTAATAATAATAATACCAATGACCGTCCGGGTCTCCACGCCCGCACAAAATACATCTTCAAGTAAAAAATACGATAGTCTGCTAGTCCCTATACAGGTCAATCATGTTGCGAGGTGACATGATTCACGACTATACAAATCCTACTGATAATTCGGAGCAGTCACCTCATATCGCACCCTCGTTAAAGCTGCCGAAAAAGACGGATAGGAATGACTATTTCACTACCCCGTAATCAGCTTGGTTTACACGGTTGTGGTCGCGGAAATTAACTCAACACGTTCCAGTATGCGCCAAGTTCCAGTTGTAAATGGAGCACCATGAAGACGCCCGGATTTCCAGAATGACGGCATTACTTTAATTTAATTACTTTAATTTCTGGCCTGGTTCTGGATCTGTAGTACATTAGGTGGTTCTGCTTAGAAAACTAGCTTGAGAGAATATGACGGAGAACTGAACTGACGTATTACCGCCATTTCACGGCCGACTCTAGGACCGTCATTATAGACGCTAATTTTCTATTAGGATTTCTTTCTGTACGTGAGGCCACTTGCTAACTACTAGGGAAAAACAATAAATTATTCCCAATCCTTTCGTTTTCTTATTCTGCCACTGAATGTAGATTCACAGAAGCATTGAATAAAATAATCCTTGGAGTTTAAGAAATCAAAGAGAGAGCAATGTGGTACTTAGCTGTGCACAAATATATTGATTTAATTATGATAAGGAGGAAAATAAAGTGACAGTGAAAGGCATCTCGTTCTAGATCAAAAAAACTCAAATACTTCGCCAGACAATAAAACAGACCAAGGAGCTCATTAAAGCAAAATACCTTCCATATTATTAAGAATAAGGTATCAATAATTGAAAAAGCAAACTGAACGAAGCTTACCTCGATCAGGAGTTCGGGAGGCCTTCAATTTGATTAGTACACCTTGGTCAACCGATGTATCCTGATTGTGTTCTGACTCATCCAGCAGGCTGGATTTCAAATTCATTAGGAGAACAAGGCAGACGAAAAGTCCAAACAGTGGATCGGCAAGGAGGAAGTAAATGTCCCAAAAAGATAAAAGCACCTCATCACGAAGAGGCGCGGTAGCGAACAGACTGAGTAGCCATGATGTAGCATATTCCTCAGGTTTCAGTTTAAGTGAATCCAGAAAACTGCACAACTTTGGTTCATGATACTGAAGCAAAATTCGGAAAATGCAAGAGAGATTTCGTTCGACGTCCGGTCCTGTTGGAATGAAGTGATGATAAACGGCAGCGAAACAGGCATACAGGTCATGTCGATCAACTGGTTTCAGTGTTTCGTATAGTAGTTGAATGATGCGAACCCAGCCACCCTTCGCTTCATATCGCAACGAATAAGTTCGGGCAAAATGGGTAAGGACGGACTCGAAATTGCTCGTCAGTTCCGAAACTGAGGGAATGGGACTATGTGAAGTGGAATCTAACTCCCGACCAAGATCAAATTGTTGGTCGTCATCCTCCTCGTCACTTGGTGGTGTTCGAAAATCATCGTGTGTCTCGGACTGGGAGGAAAGCTTATGAATGACTTCCGTTGCTGCTTTTTCACAAGCCGCATGCAATTCTGGCTGATTCGGCAAGTCGAATACATCATGAAACTCCTTCATTGCCTGTATCTGTAGTTCCGGTTTCAGGCAAATACGCCAAACTTCTCGTCTTGAATTTGAGGGAACTGGTCTATTTGCACATATCGAACGGATTCGAAAGAAGTCAGCGTCCTCTGTAACACAAAATAAACCATCTGAATAGAGAAAATTCTAGTACATCTACGTACGCTAGAAAGAACATTCCGGTGTTTTAGGAACATCTAGATCGGTGTAACATTCCATAAAGTACTGCAAAGGTCGGTTGGTATTTCTCCAACCTAGGCAAAGAATGTGCTGGGTTAAATGTGTGAATCTTATGTGTAGCGGAATCATTTAGGCTAGCAAAATTTACCAGGCGACATGAGGTAACGAATGGTCATAAATAGCAGATAAGCAGAAACGAAGCCATGCAAGTTGTGACGTCAGTTCAAACAGAGATGGCAGAATAGTCTGACTGGGCATCTACTTTGAAATAATTGTGATACACAGGAATTAATCTGAAGTTCTTTGCATTGTGGCATTTCTGGTGCCGCAAACTGAGTTAGACTACCGCTGTCAGTCCTTACGATAACAATCTCATAGGGGCATCTGAAGTTCGGTTTAAGGCTAGGCTGGTAAGGATACGACGCAAAATGAGATCGCACAGTACTTAATGGATTTGATTCATTTGGATAATGCTTCTGAGATCACCAACAAATTACTGAAGTCACCCCTAGAACGGGTGCCTACACATCTATCGTAACGCAGGGCACTAAACAGTGTGTCGCGCAAAAACCTGAGTGCTTCTCTAATCTAATACTAGCAGCATACATGATGAAGCAACCCTTGATCGGTTGGATTGCGGCCCCTGTTTTAGGTAGCATTCTATTTTATCTAACTACGAAATAGCAGGCCCTTGAAGAACCAGTTGCATGATTTAATATTCACAGGTTTCGAAAAGACTTAAAATCATTTGTTGGTTATCAATTCTTACGAATAATCCATCCACAGACGATTGCCCATCCATGTTGTCGGCAAGACGAGCAAAATCTGAAAGACATTTTTCGCTGGTTACGCAACTGTAGATCTGTCCAATGCTGTTCACTAAATTTGACTGCGTTAAAACCCAGCGAATTTTCTTTTACACTGTACCCAAACGTCATATGGACTGCCCAAGAGGTCGTTTGAAATCGGAGTGGAAGTCCAATGGATGTATAGTCGCCTATATCCGGAGAGGTTGCTCATATAAGAGATCACTCTCAATCGGTCAGCTGAAGCCACTTCTCAGAACAGATTGTTCTTGTCTGGGGTTTCTGGAAGCAGCACCACAAGAGGGTTCCGTCGCAAAGTCCGTCCCGTCGTCCTCATGATGCGAGGGTACTAGCCATGGTGTGATTTCTGTTGAACACGGGCTAACGGGGCTATGGCGACGGTGCCGCCGAATGGGGGGATTGCGGGCTGGCAACCCGTGCATCCCACATGTCGCACAGGTTCGTTACCGTCACATGACTAGCGTTACCCCACCATTGGGAGGTTTTACGCGTCACGAGGGAAACACTGATTTCCAGTCAGTACTTAGTGCTGCCAAATTGGGGCACGAACCGTGTTACAGTCACCGGTAACCATGAAAATTTGCTGCCTTGCGGGTTGCATTTGGATGTGTAAGAGCCAGAGAACTTCATTTAAATGATATATCTGATGAAGTTGGTTCATGAGATCAATCAGTCTCTCCGATGGTTTTACTTAGCACACATTCCCGCTGGCTTGCAGCTACCGCCTCCAACGCATACCTACCTATCCCACCGCCCCAAATCATCAGTGAAAGAAACTGTGGTAGCTACAACCATTGTACAAGTACGCGGTCTTTACATCTGACGAGCATGATGAAACTTCTTCGCGCAAAGGCTAGAGGTGCACCATCAAACAAAGGCCATATGGAGGCAACATATCTCCACGGTACTCTATGAATACGTGGTATAACTTCCCCGGTAAGCGACGTACCAGATGCTAATCAAGTAAACATGGTGATAAATATGCAATCTGGGACTCGATCGATCATCATCATCGACAGCATGACATCAGTGTTCAACACCGATGCTTCACTGCCGTAGGCGATCGATGGATGGCCTCAATCGACTCAACACGTTATCAGCATCCAAAGAGGTATCTTTCCCTTGGTATTCCAATCATGCTTCCCAAATAGACTACATTCTGGCGGCAAACATAGTCTACTAATAACTGTAGGCTTAACGGCGAAGTAAAAACCGGCGATAAATACGGTTGAGATTAAACCCTTATAAGTGCAAGGTCTAAACTACATGTAACCGCTCAGGACAACTTACAATCAATGTGTCCACCCGAAGAAGCCCGAAAGGTTAAGCAACTCCCGGACTCAACCAGTAGCCAGCTTTCCGCCATATGTCACCACCACGGGCTCAATCTGTCTCCGTCGACGAGTCTTAATACCGTCCAAATACGTCTACGCAAAGGATCGCCGCATCAAATCTTGGAGTTATACACCAACACCATAACATCTCGGGCTCCGAAAGGCACCTCTGCCGTAACTACCTGTAATCCATGCTCCAGTAACTTAGCGTGGGAAGACTCACTAATAACGGATACACAAGCTTTATTGCGAAAGTGAGAGCAGGCAGCATCCCGTTATCTAAACATAATTTTTTACCTCGACTCTAAGAGAATCGACCGCCGTTGGATTAGGATCAGTTTCATGACATGCCCGAACGCCCAACATTGTTGTCCGTTGCTGAACTGACCGACTGGTTGAGCAACCAAGTGGTGGTCGGGCATCTGGGCTGCAGAGATTCCGTGGGCAAACTACGTAGATATGAATTTGTAAAGGTTCACCCATGCCAGGATATGTCAAATTAGCAAACAGGCAATGCTTGATGAAACCTAGTACTCCCTTAAAATCGATGTATGTTGTTTCTCCGAGAAACGCATACAGGACCCGAACGTGGTTCTGCATCTCAGAACACCAAGGATGAACTCAGCTCTTTCACACTTCTCTCTCCGTGTGTCCGGTGACCCAGAAGCGATGACTCGTGGAATATATGGCGTGGGAGTTGCACTCAGCCCCAGAGCTGAACGCGTTTTGCTGGATTGGATCCCAGTGAACAGTCGTCTCTGCGCCGTCCGGTTATCCAGTTCAATCAAGCTCAATGCCTCGCGGCATAAAAAGCGGTGCCTGTTTGTCGTGTCGGCTTATGCCCCGACGGACTGCAGTTCTGATGCGGAGAAGGATACTTTCTATCGAGAGCTATCCAGGCTCATTCGTCAGGCAAAAAGCACTGACATTGTGATCCTTGCAGGCGATTTGAATGCTCAAGTAGGTCGTCTGAGCTCCTTGGAATCACATTTGGGTGGTCGTTTCGGAGTCGATGCCCGCCGCACAGACAACGGAGATCGACTCCTTCAGCTGTGTGCTGATCACGAACTGTTTCTGGCAAGTACGAACTTTCAACATAAACGTTCGCACCGCGTAACCTGGCGGCCGCCAACTACAAACCAACCGTGGACCCAGTTGGAACACGTGGCTATCAGCCACCGGTGGAGAGCCACAATTCAAGACTGCCGTTCCTTCTGGGACACGCCACTTGATTCCGATCACACCGTGGTGCGCGCACGCTTGATACTTCGTTTCCCTTCAGGCCATTGCAAGTCGGCAAGAAGCATGCCAATCCACCAGCTCCGAAGAACTGCCATAGCTCAACAGTATCGATCTGAGCTAGCCCAACAACTTTCCACAGTAAAACAGTACTGTGGTGGCAGTGAGCATGTGGATGAAGCGTGAAAGGAGCTATGCTAGCGGTGCTATGCTAGCTATGCTAGTGCTGCCTGCCCGACTTCTCCAATTCAACCACAGGACCACTGGATGTCGTCGAAGTCATTATCCATGATTGATGCCAGGAAAGCCATACCGGCAGGCAACGAGTACGACGGCGCACGCAAATCCCTCAAACCTCAAATAGTGAAGAGTCTAAGGAAAGACCGAGAGCTCTGGTGGACATCGAAAGCTCGAGAGATGGAGAAGCCTTTTGATACGGAAAACTCATACGATTGACTGGCTCTAGGAAAGCAGCGGTCAGCGAAACGATAAATGAAAAAGATGGCTCATTAATTCACTCGCAAAAACGTCGACTGGAGAGATGGGTCAAACACTTCGAAGGGTGTGAAATTGTGCAAGTGCGTGTTTTTGTAGTTTTTCGTATCCAAACAAAAAGTACGTCATGTTCTAATGGAAGCAAAATAAAGATAAAATCCTATCGGCCAAGCACATAAGTTGACCAATGAGGTCTCAGTATCCACGATGGCAGGCCATCAGTACTGTTGCGCCGAATGACATCTTCGCGCACAATGTCCTTGAGCTCTGATGAGGTGGAAGTAGACGACTCTTGGAAGGTGGACTTAGAGATAGCACTTCTGGGTGAGTTATATTTCCTACGTTTCTAACAGGCCTATAAAACGGCTGCGATTCTCCCTTGAATTTTGTGTACGTAGCCACAAGTTATCGGACGACGAAGGGTGCACGCGGATAGTTGACAGGCAACATGCAAAATAACTTGGAGTTCCAGCTCGCTGGAAACGCCCTGAGGAAGTCTTGTGGTTTATTCATGCCCCTTCTCGGATCCTGGCAACTATATGATGGAAATACGGCTCAAGCAAATTAACCAATAGTGACAGTTCTTATATCCCCGCAGGATGATATAGGAGTATCCGCCCAGTGTACCAAAGCCCTTCGAAAGAGTAACCTTGGATTAATCGACCCGGAAGCTATCACCATCCTGGTTTCATATGGTGGCTGGAAGTCGGCTCTATCAGGTAGCCTGCTCGAAGCGGTAGTGCACTCTCCTGTCATTGTGTGACCACTTGTTATAGAAGTGAAGATTGCCCGAATTTGAAAGCATACCAATGTCACGGTTATCCATCGGAGAGAATAAAGTGCTGAGTCGAATTTGTGTACCAACTAGTCTGACATATGTACTCCTGGTGGTAATTGGGCGGGTTATCAATCAACTAACTTATCAGCTATGAGCGGTGTGTCGTACGCACACTGGTTCCAGCTGGAATATCACTATTGCCGCAACTTTTCGATTTTTCGTTTTTATGAACTGTGAGGAGTTCATGAAAGGCCCCGTAGGTCTTTAGTAACAAATAGAACCTTAATTTGGTTCATATACACTGTAGCAGCGTTTTTGAGTGTCTGTTCCAGCCGCACTCCGTCTTTGCCCAAGGTGTGACGTTTTTCAAAATATTCCCCGGTGACTTACACGGTCTCTACATGCATGTGATGAGAGTGCTGTTGAAAAAAATCAGTGATACCTAAAGCGACATTCAGCGCCTATGTATAACTATTCAGTCGAAAACGAGGTATTTATCGTGCAGTTTCAATTTGTACGGGACGAGCTAACGATAAATTTTATACGAGGTTGTGGATAAATATCGAAGAACGGAGTTGAAAACAACCTGGTACCGTCTCAGCATGGCTTTCTTAAGAAGTCTCGTGCCTCACCAAAATAGTGCCTTTTGCGGAATTAACGTATACGGTGTTTCAGGATCGTAACTTGATACAGCAGTCGAGTAAGTCGCGACCGGATGTGATATAGAAAACTCCAATTACGATCTTAGTACGTATACGTATTTATCCGAAAACTGACAATGGCTGCACAGAATTTGAAACAAACTGCATACAGCCAGAGTGCACGTTAAAACAAAAGCAGATATAGACGAAGTTGATCCGAAAAGACCGAAAATGGGTGTGAACCGCGCCAACACTTGAAGCATTCGACGTAAGGCTCATCCCAGCATAAAGCTGCCCCAGAATTGAGCTTCGGCCATATCACGGTGGTCGGACATCTGGGCTGCAGTGATTCCGTGAGCAAACTACGCAGATATCTATTTCTAAAGGTCCACCCATACCAGCAAGGCCAACGGAGAGCAATCTGGCGAACAACAGCGAGTCCCCATACTGTGAGAGGTCGTATCACGATGCGGTGTAAGGGTAAAGTCGTAATGTCCTGTGCGATAGGAGTGTGAGAGCATTTCCCAGACATTTCCAAGGCGACCAGCATGTCCATATTTATGGGAGCGACCGTGCTGTCTTCCCCCAGAGGAAGGACGGGTTAGAAAATGCAGGCTCTAAAAATCGCACACTCCGATCAACCAGCGGTTGACTGTGACCGCTGGTGCATCATTCAATACGGTCGAAATACCTTCGAAGCCAAGGAATCCGGTGTTGCTCAAAATGCACCTGCTGTGCGCAGCCGCATTAGGAGTGAGACAGTATTGCCTTACTCCCTGCGCCCCCGAGCCAAACCGACCCCCTGAAGCCAGCTGGGTCAGACTATTGGGTCACTGGCTCCGGGACGAGTCTCCCCTCCCAAGAAAACCCTACTGTTCGCTGCTCCGCGGGTCAGACTTTTGAGCCAAAGCATAGAGACAGGGTTCTCGAGCAAAACAAGACATCCTCCTACTGCCTTACGGGGCGGACTTTTGGGTTAAAGGCTCAAAGTGAAGATTGTTTACCTCAACCGAACCCGTTCCCTCGGCCCGGACAACCGGGAAGTATCAGTAGCTCATGCAGCTCTTCGTTCACAGGCCCTTGCTCACCAATTGAACGATGGTGCGATCAACCGTTCTGCCAGTCCCCTAGCCAACGTTCCGGATCCAAATCATTGCCCGGAAAAATAAATAATGATTAACAAATAATAAGACAAAATAAACCACTTCGAAAGAGTTGATCGACGTCGCAGTCTTCAATGTCACATTGAGCAACAGGTGTATGTTCCTGAAACCTTGCCTTCTCTATCTATCTATGTATACTGTGCCTCTAAAACATGCGTGGAGCAGGACCCCACTTCGGTCGTGTACATCGAACAGACTATAACAAGCTTAAACGTTCCACATTTCGCTCTTCGAGTTTCTGGCGATCCTGACGCAATGACTTGTAGTATCTACGGTGTGGGAGTTGCACTTAGCTCCAAGGCTGGAAACGCTTTACTGGACTGTGTCCCACTAAGCAGTCGTCTCTTCGCTGTGCGGTTGTTTGAATCAATTAAGATCAATGCAAATTGGTGCTGTAAACTGTACTTATTTGTAGTATCGGGATACCCCCGACAGACGGCATTTCTGAGACTGAAAACGGATTTTATGAAGATCTATCACGACTGTTTCAGTCAGCAAGAGGGACAGATATTATAATCCTGGTGGGTGACATTAATGCTCAGGTTGGCCGAGTCCGGAAGAAGCATGCTCAGCGCCGTCACGAGGTTGGGCCTTACCGTGGTGTGACGGTCTGTGTACCTCGGCGACCCATTGCACTATACTGGGTGGGGGGGTCCGCGCACCACTCTCAGAGTCTCTCGTACCAGATTGCTAAATGGTTAGAGGTCTGACGAACACAGTCTTCTGGTCCTCCAGGTTTGGGGTTGGAACATGTGTGGTGACGTGCTCCGTAAAAATAGTATTTGCATTTCCAGCGGTCAGAATTTTGAGCCAAAGGCTTTGGATGACGACCTCCATTGACCTCCTGCTTAGGTACGGGTGCCTGACAGTATCCCAGCCCATGAATTTCACATCTACAAAGAAACTCATGCCACATCGGCCGTTGCGTGGTGACATCATCCGGGTCGGGTTGCTTACTACATGCAAGAGGGCGGGTAAATGAAAGCAAGCTACTGCTAACGCCGCCCTCCATTCTCTTTCATGTACTTTTTCTTCCCCTCTCCCCACCACATTAATAACCCTGCCCTTGCAGGGCCAGCGCTTATGACCGATGACTCCGTTCGCTCTGCATTGGTCTTGCAAGTAAGATCTGCGCGCCATCCGGTACCGACATCCTCAAGCATCTCGAAATCAACATTCAAACTTTGACGCCCAATCTATCTGGTCGCCTTCAGTGTCCGTGCTCTGAAGCAATCGGGTCAACAAGCTCACCTTGTTCAAACCGGACCCCCTTGGCATTGATATGTGCTCTGTCTCAAACAATATTTCAAAATGCAAGCAGTGGTTGAGCCAACCGTCCCAATGCTCTCCACAGGCTTCCGGCTGCCCACCTCTGGAGATCCAGAGGCTGCTGCGGTAAGATGTTTAGGGCCGCATAATGTGCGGGGAAATTGCCTGGCGACTGAGAGACTCGCAGATCCGGATGTTAGACGAATTTATCACAATTGTCTTCTAGATTATCTTCCAAATGCTCCTCCACCAGATGTGAATTCATACTGGGACGAGATCGTCGCCTCTTTACACAGTGCTAGTTTTGCTTGTTGCACGGCGCTACCAGGCTCACTCGAGCACTAGATATCTGAATTAACAGTGGTAATGCTTAAATCTCGAAAAGATACCCCAGTCACCTGAAGTGACGAATTATACGAAGTCAATCGGAAGTGAGCGTGTGAGTCGACCGTAAATTTTAGTGGACACGGAAAGCCATGGAAATGGAAGAGGTCCACAGAGCAGGTAATGCCTGAAGATCATTTCAGATTGTCCATGCGACCGGTCTCCGAGAAGCTTCGCACAGTCAGTGGCGCTCGTGCATCAAAGCTATCGCCTTCACTGCGTAGCTACCCGGTTCCCCAAACTAACAAAACATACCACCGCTCAAAGGCTTGGCTGAATGTCCCACACCTACCCGCTTCTCGATGATCCAAACTGCGGCAACTTGAACCGATGTGCCTATGATACACGATTTATAGCTGGTGAACTGAATGGCTGATCGGTTGACTGATTCACTGACTGGCTGGTTGATTGATTGATTGATTGATCGATCGACCGATTGATCGATCGATCGTAATAATTGGCACGGTTTTTCCAGTTGCAAAAACCTTCTCCATCTGCGCTTTCGATGCCCGGCATCAAAGCTCTCGATCTTTCCTTGAGCTCTTCACTATTTGGCGTTTAGAGGACCTGCATGTGCAGTTTTTGTCGGCTGGTATGGATTTCTCGACATCAATCCGGACTAGCGATCTTGACAATATCTAATGGTCATTGATTGTGTCAGAGAAGTCGTATAGACAGCACTGAACGCAGCTTGCATAGCCCCTTTCACATGCTTCATTAATATGCTCGCTACCCCTACAGTATTGGTTTACTGCAGAGTTGTTGATCTAGCTCAGAGCTGCGTTTGTTCTTCGAAGATGGTGGATTGGTATGATTCCTGTTGACCTGCGAGGGCCTGGAAGGAAGCGAACTGTCAGGCGTGCATGCACCATGACTTGATCGGAAACAAATTGTGTGCCCCAGAAGGAACGGCAGTCTTGAATTGTGGCTGATGATCACGCGATCCAACTGGGTCCAGGGTTGACATGCAGTTGGCAGGTTACGCGACGCGAACGTTTATGCCGAATGTTCGCATTCATCAGAAATAGTTGACGATCAGCACAAAACTGGAGGAGTCCATTTCCGCTTTCTGTGCGACAAGCATCGACTCCGAATCGTCCACCCACATTTGATTCCAAGGAGCTCGGACAACTGACTTGTACATTAGTATTACTTGCAGGGGTCAAAAAACGAGCCCTGACAACTCTTGATATAAGGTATCCTTCTTAACGTCAGAAATGCAGTTCGTTGAGGCGTATGCTGACCGACAAACGGGCAGTACTATCAAGAGGCATTGAGTAAGGTAAGTAACTAAATAACTGGACGGCGCAAATACAAGTGGAATCCAATCCAGCAAAACGCGTTCAGTTCTGGGGCTGGGTGCAACTTCGACGCCATATATTCCACAAGTAATAGGCTCTGGATCACCGCACACCCGGGGGGTGTGAAAGACCTGAGTTAGTCTTTTGCGTTTTGAGATGCAGGACCACGCTTGGGTCTTGCATGCGATCTTCAGAGACACCACACACAGCAATTTTAAAGGAATAAAAGGTTCCGGCAAGCATCGCCTGTTTGCCAACGCGACATAATGTACGGATTGAAAAACTCCCATTTAGAAAGGATATCGCGGACTTGGTGAGGTGTTATTTATTGTTAATAGATAGCTATGTGCATATGACACATCAGTCAGATAAATGACAACCAAATGACCCAACGTCTGTTCGTGTAGTTGGGAGGGGTTGAGCAGGGATATAGGTGGACAAAGAACTGTGCGAGCGAATTACCTTTCCCGGTTGTCCGGGCCGAGGAAACGGGTTCGGTTGAGGTAAACAATCTTCACTTTGAGCCTTTAACCCAAAAGTCCGCCCCGTAAGGCAGTAGGAGGATGTCTTGTTTTGCTCGAGAACCCTGTCTCTATGCTTTGGCTCAAAAGTCTGACCCGCGGAGCAGCGAACAGTAGGGTTTTCTTGGGAGGGGAGACTCGTCCCGGAGCCAGTGACCCAATAGTCTGACCCAGCTGGCTTCAGGGGGTCGGTTTGGCTCGGGGGCGCAGGGAGTAAGGCAATACTGTCTCACTCCTAATGCGGCTGCGCACAGCAGGTGCATTTTGAGCAACACCGGATTCCTTGGCTTCGAAGGTATTTCGACCGTATTGAATGATGCACCAGCGGTCACAGTCAACCGCTGGTTGATCGGAGTGTGCGATTTTTAGAGCCTGCATTTTCTAACCCGTCCTTCCTCTGGGGGAAGACAGCACGGTCGCTCCCATAAATATGGACATGCTGGTCGCCTTGGAAATGTCTGGGAAATGCTCTCACACTCCTATCGCAGAGGACATTACGACTTTACCCTTACACCGCATCGTGATACGACCTCTCACAGTATGGGGACTCGCTGTTGTTCGCCAGATTGCTCTCCGTTGGCCTTGCTGGTATGGGTGGACCTTTAGAAATAGATATCTGCGTAGTTTGCTCACGGAATCACTGCAGCCCAGATGTCCGACCACCGTGATATGGCCGAAGCTCAATTCTGGGGCAGCTTTATGCTGGGATGAGCCTTACGTCGAATGCTTCAAGTGTTGGCGCGGTTCACACCCATTTTCGGTCTTTTCGGATCAACTTCGTCTATATCTGCTTTTGTTTTAACGTGCACTCTGGCTGTATGCAGTTTGTTTCAAATTCTGTGCAGCCATTGTCAGTTTTCGGATAAATACGTATACGTACTAAGATCGTAATTGGAGTTTTCTATATCACATCCGGTCGCGACTTACTCGACTGCTGTATCAAGTTACGATCCTGAAACACCGTATACGTTAATTCCGCAAAAGGCACTATTTTGGTGAGGCACGAGACTTCTTAAGAAAGCCATGCTGAGACGGTACCAGGTTGTTTTCAACTCCGTTCTTCGATATTTATCCACAACCTCGTATAAAATTTATCGTTAGCTCGTCCCGTACAAATTGAAACTGCACGATAAATACCTCGTTTTCGACTGAATAGTTATACATAGTCGCTGAATGGCGCTTTAGGTATCACTGATTTGTGTCAACAGCACTCTCATCACATGCATGTAGAGACCGTGTAAGTCACCGGGGAATATTTTGAAAAACGTCACACCTTGGGCAAAGACGGAGTGCGGCTGGAACAGACACTCAAAAACGCTGCTACAGTGTATATGAACCAAATTAAGGTTCTATTTGTTACTAAAGACCTACGGGGCCTTTCATGAACTCCTCACAGTTCACAAAAACGAAAAATCGAAAAGTTGCGGCAATAGTGATATTCCAGCTGGAACCAGTGTGCGTACGACACACCGCTCATAGCTGATAAGTTAGTTGATTGATAACCCGCCCAATTACCACCAGGAGTACATATGTCAGACTAGTTGGTACACAAATTCGACTCAGCACTTTATTCTCTCCGATGGATAACCGTGACATTGGTATGCTTTCAAATTCGGGCAATCTTCACTTCTATAACAAGTGGTCACACAATGACAGGAGAGTGCACTACCGCTTCGAGCAGGCTACCTGATAGAGCCGACTTCCAGCCACCATATGAAACCAGGATGGTGATAGCTTCCGGGTCGATTAATCCAAGGTTACTCTTTCGAAGGGCTTTGGTACACTGGGCGGATACTCCTATATCATCCTGCGGGGATATAAGAACTGTCACTATTGGTTAATTTGCTTGAGCCGTATTTCCATCATATAGTTGCCAGGATCCGAGAAGGGGCATGAATAAACCACAAGACTTCCTCAGGGCGTTTCCAGCGAGCTGGAACTCCAAGTTATTTTGCATGTTGCCTGTCAACTATCCGCGTGCACCCTTCGTCGTCCGATAACTTGTGGCTACGTACACAAAATTCAAGGGAGAATCGCAGCCGTTTTATAGGCCTGTTAGAAACGTAGGAAATATAACTCACCCAGAAGTGCTATCTCTAAGTCCACCTTCCAAGAGTCGTCTACTTCCACCTCATCAGAGCTCAAGGACATTGTGCGCGAAGATGTCATTCGGCGCAACAGTACTGATGGCCTGCCATCGTGGATACTGAGACCTCATTGGTCAACTTATGTGCTTGGCCGATAGGATTTTATCTTTATTTTGCTTCCATTAGAACATGACGTACTTTTTGTTTGGATACGAAAAACTACAAAAACACGCACTTGCACAATTTCACACAATACAAACGTGATCGCGCGGTACGTTCGAAATCGGTTTCGTTTTTCCCTCGTGCAAATTCGTGAAAAATTTTTTCGTTGTTCAATCTATTCACAGAGTACACACGAGTAATTGTTGAATTTTATTACTCTAACAAAACATTTGAGTGATAACCCTTCATATTTTGCGCACACCTATTTTACATCTAGTCCGAAACATGACGTCAATCCATACCGATCGCCCTCCGCAGCCATTGGTAGACCACAATAGATGTGGGCGGAATGGCTGCCCGTCGAACGTCAAACGCGGTATGCAATGCCACGCCTGCAAGGCCTGGTGGCATTTCAAATGCACGGGTTTACAGGACGACCAAATAAGCCGACTAGCCAACTCTCCTGACCCGTTTGTCTGTGCCAGCTGACTCTATGTCAAGGGTGCAATGCATACCGCAGCGAAGAGAAGAGTCCCCCGAAACGGTACCCAACCCCCAGTGCAGATCCCGAAAGACCACTGCCAGTGTTCCGCTTTAATCGGGATACTCGACGCGAAAATAGAGCGTCTTTCGAAGGCACTGGAGGACTCAGGCGCTAAGAATGCAGCGACCTGGGCGAAAGTCGACAAGGAACATTCCTCGCTGAACCAATACCTCGCGATGTCCATACCGGGTCCCATGGCTGAGAAGAAAGTCATACAACTTTCTGACGCGGCTATAAAAACCGCCACAGCGTCGCTAGTGGAAAGACGCCTAAGGGAAAACAGGCTGATAATCTGGGGGTCGTTCTCCGGAAAAATCACGCCAGCGAAGCTGGCACAGTCGATCCTCAGCAAGCCTGATCAATCACTCCACGCAGAATGGCTACGCCAAGAGGGAAGTAAGCGAACCCTTGGACTTCTAGTTACTCTTTCTTCCCCGTCCGACGTACAGGCAATCTTGGAGCGGGCTGGCAGCATTCAAAAGGCCATCCCAAAGAACAAAACCGACCCGGGAAACTTGGGCAAATGCCTCGATCCGGTGTATCAATCCGTGAATATCATTACAGAATATTGTTGGATGGTGGTGACGATTGTTCACGTGGTCATAATGTGCCTCATTAAGTCCAGGCGTAAAACTATAACTTTCACATTTTGAGGAGGCTGAAAGCAAATGTAGTTCAACACTCTTGTTATTTAGCTTGGCAAAAGAATGCGCACAAACCATGGAAGAGTCACAAGGTTTTCAAACCACTGACCACCGGGGTTACCGTATCATAGCCAGCTTGGTGGCTGTAGCGATTACGCAAAGACTTGGTGCGTAATGCAACGGAAGTCTGAAAACAGCAGATCAAACTTACCGGGTTTAGGTGATTGTTGGCATGTCTGACATGGGCCCAACCACTGTTTACCGAAGGAAGCGTTGTTTTTAGTTCCGAGGCATCCTTTTTGGATGGGATGCGAGGGACTTGGAATGGTAGCGTGAAATGAAGACAAATTAAGCCCCATGTGGTTCTCATGCCCT